GTGTGGGTGGGCTTACAATACACGCCAGTTTCCAACCGTCCTCCATCCGAAACCGAGACATCGCAATCCAGGAACGCCAACCTGCCATTTTTTTTTTACGTCCACTCGTGTGAACTTAATATATTCATCCACCGAGTTGATGTGATCAGTGAAATGTTGGACTTCCTGGGCTTTAATTTTAACCCAGGTGTCGTCAACATATCTGAACCAATGGCTCGGTGGCACCCCTGAAAAGGACATCAAGGCTCTCTTTTCCACTTCCTTCATGTACAGGTTTGCAACAATTTTTTTATTTAAAAAAGCTGAAAGAGGGGGAAAAAGCTTAACTTTGCAGAAAAAAAAGCAAAAATACAGCTGAAATAGTAGAAAAAAGCTAAAATTGCTGTAAACAGAGAAAGCAACTGTGAGAAACAAATAGCTCAAATTAGCAGAAAGAAACACAAAAAGTAGAAATTAGGAGAAGAATAGCAAAATGATAGCAGAAAAAAAGCTAAATTTAGCAAAGAAGTGGCTAGAATTAGCACATGGTGCCTAAAATGAGCAGAACAAGAACAAAATGTGTAAGGTTCTGTAAAGACACATTTTAAAGGATTTTAAGCATGTTGAAAACAGATCCATTCATTTTCAATGGCAAAAAGTGGCTAAAAAGGTGAAATAGCTGAAAAAGTAAAAATAGCTGAAATACCAAAAGTCATAACAGGATTGCCATAAATGAGCTGAACGTTTTGATATACGAATCGTTGAAATAGCACAAAAATTGTGGAACGAGTTAAAATGTACGGAAGAAAAGATGACCTATGAAAGCTGTGAAGTATTCACACTACTCGACATTTATTTAATTACTTCCTGAGAGTTTCACTAAAATATGCCCAGCGCTACATGATGCTTTTACATATATTTAAAAAGTAAAATTCAAAAGAGACAGTTGTTTTCCTTGAATCGAGGGAGTCATACTTGTTATAAGGAGTCAGTTTTCCAATAGTGATGGGGATCCGATCAGCATCATTCAGCTCTGCGCAGACGCAGATCCTGTCCCCCCACGGTCCGCTGCTGAACAGCACCACCTGCCGGACAGAGGCGGGAACAGCAACAGACACTCTGCACGACCCGTCCGAGCTAAACAGAAAACAGGCCAAACATTAGAACACGAGCGATTTGTCATGCAAGAAAACAGCACCATATACGATGATATTCAATGGCACGTGTTTTATAGAATATTACCAGTAAATATGGCGCGTTTGAGGAAAAAAAGCGACATCATTTGTTCCAAACTTACCTCAGCAGCCTTTGAGGCGGACCGTTTATATCGAAAACAGCATAAACACCGAACTCTTCCATCTTTACGTTTTCCTCCTAAAGTCTTTTCACGTATACAGACTTATTTTAACACGATTTAAAGCGTTAAAACAAGTTCACAACAGCCAACTCCCGCCACTGCTGTGTGTACGGTTTCTAACTACGCGCGAGTTCTGGGTGAAAGAGTGCGCGCGCGTTTTACCGTTCAGCGTGTCTTTCGAAGATGAGGTGCACATTTGGCGCATAAGAATAAAGAGCTCCGCCCTTGCTGTACACACCGTTACACATATCAAGCGCTCTCCAGCTTGGCCTCTGTTGCTCTGAAAGCGGCATTCAAGAGCACAATGTATTTTGTTCAATTTAAAGATAATTTCACATTTTACCTTGTAAACTTTGACATCTGCGGATCTAATTAACATGTAATGTTTAGTTGCGCACAAATTAGAAAATCTTACCAAAAAAAGTATTCACGAATAAAATGTTTTAAAGATATATGAAGCAAAAAAGGCGTTTTTTTCTACGTTTATTGAATCAAAGTAATAAAAATATTTTTTACAATACTTTTTAATTCGGTAATAAGAATATATGAGTAATTATTATTTTTCCACATTATTTCATTTGTTGCACAAAACCTTACATTTGCGTTAAACAAACATTTGAAATCGTTCACTAAATACGACAGTTTGTTCTTGAATGCACACTGAAGAAGCGCAGCTGTCGCAAAGCATTCTGGGATAAAACACCGGCTGAAACCTTCTCGAAAGAACTGCAAAGATGATGGTGAGTGAGTTAGCGTTCACGTTCCGAAATCAGTCCATAATCCGTCTCCATCCTTCAGTTTATCGGCCGGGATTAGCACCGGAATTATTCTTCATGGATAAAACGGGCTGTTGGCTGCGTTGAAAAGCTGTTATTTTTGAATAAATGTATTAAAACAATATAGTTTTGTTAGCTAAACACTGTTAGCATTTTGTTATCAATGGGCGTATGAGGAGGAAGACGGTGACATGAATGTAGCGGGATATAAATAATATAAACAGACAAATTTTAGGCGTCCACTTTAAGAGTTTTAAGCTTATATTTTAGGTTTTTTTTTAATAGTCTAAACATCTTTGTTCATAGGTTTGTGTGTGTGTGTATACGTTTCCTCTTATTAGCCTGCTCAGGTTTAGCTAATTTCAGGTCAGTTTAAATCAAAATGTAAATGTACAGGTTGAAGTGAAGACATCCGGGTATTTACAGTGCCACTGTCTCAGCTGCATGCCTGATGATGATTAAGTATAAATATTATCACTAATAATGGCTACAAATGTTTTATTTTGAAAAGATACTGTGCAATACTGTTTTTTTGTGTGTTATTAAATGAGCTAAGCATTGATTTTTATGTCTAATCTAAATTAATCTGAGCAGGATAGTCTGCACAGCTGCATGTTTTAATATTTAAACTAAATTGGATTGTGGTAAAAGAAGTTTACAACCATTAATTGTGTATTACATGTGTTTTACTTTATTTAAATGTTTGTATAAATATGAAGTAATAGTCTTGATCAGATTTTCCCCTTTAAAGCAAGTTATTCCTGTATTTAAACAATTGTTTGCAAAAACTATTTTATTTATTTAGTCCTAGACTTAATTTTGATTCATTTTTTTAAGATATTGAGCTAAAATCTGAGGTAGCTACATGCGTACTGCGTTGTAAACGGCAGGTGATGTGTACCTGTTCCTGGCCTGGGTTTTAGTGAACTTTATTTGATTTTCTTCTCATCCTGCAGCCCACACCGGTTATCCTGCTGAAGGAGGGGACAGACACGTCTCAGGGCATCCCCCAGCTCGTCAGCAACATCAATGCCTGCCAGGTCTGTCCTCACTTTGTCTTTCTGTGACAAAACGTCATTTTTCTGTTTCTGAGCTGGAAGAACAAAGGAAAGAAAATGTTTTAAAAGCGCTGAATGGTCCTGTTACGTTCTCTGCAGGTGATTGCTGAGGCTGTCCGGACCACCCTGGGACCCCGGGGGATGGACAAGCTGATGGTGGACAGCAGAGGTGAGGAGAGGCCGATGTTAAAACTGCATTCAGAACGTAGAGCTGGAGTTATTTACAGCGTGTCGATGTCGGCTGTTTCCAGGGAAGGCGACCATCTCTAACGACGGCGCCACCATCCTGAAACTGCTGGACGTGGTCCACCCCGCAGCCAAGACTCTGGTGGACATCGCTCGCTCCCAGGACGCCGAGGTGAGCCGCGTGTCCGTCAGCAGCGTGGCTGTTTGTGAATCCGTGCAGCGTCTCAAAACGATTTTGTTTTTGTTTTGTTTTCCTGCGGATCCTCAGGTCGGAGACGGCACCACGTCCGTCACCCTCCTGTCCGCAGAGTTCCTGAAGCAGCTGAAGCCGTACGTGGAGGAGGGGCTCCACCCTCAGACCATCATCAGAGCGTTCCGCACCGCCACCAACCTCGCCGTCAGCAAGATCAAGGAAATCGCCGTCTCCGTGAGGAAAGACGACAAACAGTGAGTTTATCCGCCGCGATGGCGAGATCTGCTTCTCTCGCGTCCGGCTGGGCGGTAAACGTTGTTCCTGCCTCCTCAGAGAGCAGAGGCAGCTGCTGGAGAAGTGCGCCGCCACGGCTATGAACTCCAAGCTGATCGCCGGGCAGAAGGGTTTCTTCTCCAAGATGGTGGTGGACGCCGTCATGTCTCTGGACGAGCTGATGTCTCTGAAGATGATCGGCATCAAGAAGGTTCAGGGAGGAGCCCTCGAGGTGGGTGTCTCGTTCAGAGAGAATGCTGCTAATGCAGACATGTTATTACTCATACTTATTATTTAGCGTTTTCTCCTCTCAGGATTCTCAGCTGATCGCTGGGGTTGCCTTCAAGAAGACCTTCTCCTACGCCGGCTTCGAGATGCAGCCCAAACGCTACGAGAACCCCAAGATCGCCTTGCTGAATGTGGAGCTGGAGCTGAAGGCAGAGAAGGACAACGCAGAAGTTCGTGTGAAATCAGTGGAGGTATGATGAACTTTAAATCAACTGTATTAACTCTAGGGCTGCAGCTAACCAGTATTTTAGTAATCGATTAATCTATTGATGATTCAGACGATTAATCGAGTAATTAAATATAAAAAGTCATGTTCTGCAGTAATTATTTAAGCTTATTTTATGAGTAATACAATTATTTAATATTGTAAAGGGGTAATACAGTATACACCTGCTGATGACCCTGCTGCAATCAAGGTAAAATTACACCAGTTGTATTAATTAATGCATTTTAAACTCCATTTGTTTGTATTTGTGTATATAAGGTTTGAGGAGGCTTTAATTAAAAAACACTCTGTCAATGAATCATTTTTAACCATCACAGAAAAATCTAAATGCTGTAAATTTATTGTTATGGATTTTAAAACTGATTATTAATATTATTATTATTATTATTATTTTGTTAGAAATTTAATAAGTAAAATGTGTAATATAAACTTTTGGGTGTTGCAGTTGAGTTTTGTAGAGTTCACTTGTTAATTGTAACAAAAAATTCACATATTTTTAAGACTTATTAGGTTGGTGCAGGGCTCCCCTTTAAAGATTTAGTCTTGACTGCTTAGCTACACATAAATATGACAGTAGTAATGAAGGCAAAAATCATAAAAAGCAGCAGCAAATAATTAAAAAAAATCCAACTGTCTTATATAAATACTTTTAAAGTCGAAACATTTACTCCAAGTATGTCATTTAAACTAAGATAAAAAAAATATATCAACAAATAAACGTGTTTCAGCTCCAGCTGTCAATCTGTTGCTCTGCTTTTGTTTGTATCTGACAAACTTACAGTAAGTCTTGTTTTTAATCACACAACTTACACACTGTTTAATAAAACCCTGCCAGGTCACCATGATTGGTCAGCACAAATAACGTTAGCTTAAATATAGCCCCTGCTTGTTCATCTTTAACATGACAGATTATCATAGATTTAGGTAGCCGTATTTTGCAAAGGGAACATGAACGATATCTGTTGTTAACTCTGGATGCATTCGGTACATGGAGCAGCGTTTTTGTTCTGGTGCAGAAACAACGAGGATGTGCGCTGTTGTCTTTTCTGTTTAGTTTTAAATGTTCCCATGCTTTTTATAATTTGTTGTTTTCTGAGCGCTTGGTTTCAGCGCTCTTCATCTTCTTCTAAAGCTAAATATAGAGCAACACGTGTCAACAGTATAACTGTTAGCGGAAGCGCTCACGTCGTAGCATTGTTTAACACAAATAACAAACCGGCTGGACGAAAGCGCACTGATTATAGCAGTGTTTATTTTTTACAAAGCTTGGAGGCAGATAATTTGCCTCGAGGATTTTTCATTATCGAATTAATCGAATTATTTGAGGAATCGTTTCAGGCCTAATGAACTCATCTGACCTTTTCCCTCAGGACTACCAGGCCATCGTAGATGCAGAATGGAACATCCTGTACGACAAGCTGGAGAAGATCTATCAGTCCGGAGCCAAAGTGGTTTTGTCCAAGTTGCCCATTGGGGACGTGGCCACCCAGTACTTCGCCGACAGAGACCTGTTCTGTGCGGGCCGGGTGCAGGAGGAGGACCTGAAGAGGACAATGATGGTAAGAGGAGAACAAACAGGATGAACCGTCGATCTAAGCTCTAAATAATGACGTTTGTTGGGAGTGAATGAAACTCGTGATGGTTGGTGTTGATTATGACCTTCAGGCCTGTGGAGGCTCCATCCAGACCTCTGTAGGAGCTCTGACTGATGATGTTCTGGGACAGTGTGAACTGTTCGAGGAGGTCCAGGTTGGAGGCGAGAGGTAAGAGACGCTTTAACTCAAAGATCCAGACATTTTCTCCTCTTCATCAAACATGTTGACCAATAAAAGCTTCACCTCCTGAAGAAAATGTAAATATAACTGTTCGGATGAGGCTACCGTCTTGTTTCGTCTCGTAGGTACAACTTCTTCAAGGGCTGCCCCAAGTCCAAGACGTGCACCATCATCCTGAGGGGCGGAGCCGAGCAGTTCACTGAAGAGACAGAGCGATCGCTGCACGATGCCATCATGATCGTCCGCAGAGCCATCAAGGTTTGTCCCGCCTTTAAGCTTCACCTGTACCTGTGGAGGAGTTCAACCTGCTGGAGTCCAGGGAGAAACGGGATGTTTCTGGACTATTTAGGTTCATATTTCACCTTTAAAAATGGTTTAATCTGCCATGATGAGTGAAGTTACTTTTTAGTTTTGATCTACTGAATCAACACAGCAGAGCTAAAATCATAAAAAATCCAAGTAGATTTTTTTTTTACTGAAAACCAGAAATAATTTAATTTCTTGTTTAAGTACAGTTTGAATGTTTAATGCTGAGATTTATGCTGAATAACTAAAAACATAAAGCTAGCCTAAAAATAGCTTAAAAAGTAGCTGAAATAGTTGAAATTAGCACAAAGAAGCAGAGCATATTTGCTGAATTAAGGGCTCGACACACGGGCAGCGACAAACTACAGCGATTAACGGCTGTCATCGCAGCCAGGGTGAAACCCGACACACGGGACGCGATAGCGATCGCAACGTTGCGAATCGCGCTCTCAGGTCCCTTGTCTTCACAAAATTTGATTGGTTCTTGACTCTGAAGGCGGGTGTGCATTACGGACGTGTAAACTAAACAAATCTTGCGATGCTAATGATATTGAAAAACAAACACATCAAGATACAGTTTTATGTGGCTAAACTTACCATAAACTTCACCCTGGTGCCAATAAATTCCCACAAAGCTTTTTAGTAATCACTTGGTGAAAGTGTTAGCTAACTGCAGTGTGTAGCATACTCTCCTCTCATTGGTCAGTCAATGAAACCCTCGCTGATTGGTTGTACGCTAAGCGACAGCGACAAAAGTTGAACATTTTTCAACTTTCATATGTCGCGTCGCAAGCTTGCGTGTGCACGAGCGTGAAATTTCACATGCACTATTTTCGCCGGTCGTTTGGCTGGAGGAGGGCAAGCGATTGTCGCCTCACCGCACAGGCTCCATAGGAAATGAATGGAGAGCGAGCGACGTCGCCTCCTGTGTGTCGAGCCCTTTAAGCTGTAAAAAGCTGAAATTATTACAAAAAAGCTAATTTTGCTTGGGGGGTTCAAATTAGCTAAAAAGTTGCTTAAAAACAGCTAAAATGATCAGAAATCAGCTAAAACGCGCATAAAACAGTTGATATTAGCAAAAGAAAAGCAGAAAAGGTAAGAATGCGAGCAAAAAAAGAGGAAAAAACTAAAATCAGTAAAATAGAAGCCAAAGAAAGCTGAAATTAATAAAGAAACAATTTGAAATTTATAAAGAAAGTATTTTTGCTGAATAAGCAGTAAGAAGCTGAAATTATTTAAAAAAAAAGGTGAATTTAACTTATTTAAAAAAGGTGAATTTTGCTGTGGAAAAAAGCTTAAATTAGCTAAAAATAGCTTAAAAACAGCTTTAGATAGCAGAAAACTGGTGTAACGAGCATAAAAAAAGTTCAAATTAGAAAAATAGCTGAAAAGATAAGAATGCTGGCAAAAAAGAAAGGAAAGAAAAAATAAAATCAGTAAAAATGAAGCTGAAGGAAACTGAAATTAGCACAAAGTTTAAAAAAAGCAGAACCAGAACAAAAGGTAAAAGTACAGTAAAGATTTATGAATATTTTTTAAATGTTTTGCGTGTTAAAAACAACTTAGTTTATTTTTATTGGGGAAAATACATGTAAGAAAAAGCTAAATATCTCAAAGTATAAAAGTTTAATTACTTTCTCTCTGTCTCTCCATCACCACCAAACTTCATTCAGTTTTCCTGATTTTTAAAAAATTTTTCTTCCTGTAGATTTTTTTACGGTTTGACAAATAATTTTGGGTCTTGCTCAGAATGAAGGTCACGGGTTTTATACTTCTTCACCTCAAGAGAAGGATGAGACTGACTACATTGTGTTTTTTAAATTTATTTATGTATTTTATTTTATTTATATTTTTTGTCCCCCCCGTCGCATCCGATCATCAAATGTCGACACTAACTGGATTCACTTCATTACAGAACGACTCCATCGTAGCAGGAGGCGGGGCCATAGAGATGGAGCTTTCTAAGTACCTGCGGGATTACTCCAGGACCATCCCTGGGAAGCAGCAGCTGCTGATCGGAGCGTACGCCAAGGCCCTGGAGGTCATCCCCCGACAGCTGTGTGACAACGCCGGCTTCGACGCCACCAACATCCTCAACAAGCTGCGTGCCAAACACGCCCAGGTAGAAAACAGGACCCCTGTCTTTAGCTCCTCCCAGCACCTCGCCATCACTGCTGACTCCCCGTGTTGCTCCTGTCGTCTCGCAGGGCGGCACCTGGTACGGCGTGGACATCAACAGCGAGGACATCGCCGACAACTTCGTGGCCTGCGTCTGGGAGCCGTCCATCGTGAGGATCAATGCCCTGACGGCAGCGTCGGAGGCGGCCTGCCTCATCCTGTCGGTGGACGAGACGATCAAGAACCCCCGCAGCAGCGTGGACGGACCTCCGGGCGGCGCCGGCAGAGGGAGGGGCCGGGGGAGACCACACGCCCACTAAGACCCCTCGTTTTAAAACGGTAACACAATCCAAACACAGGTATCAAAGAATTCACATTTTTATCTACGTTTGGATTTACACTGTGCTTAAAACGAGGCGTCCTGACCAGCTGCACTCGCTGCAAACAGCTGGGAGGAAGGGGGCGGAGTTTAGCAGTTACAACCCAGATTCTGTGGACTTTTGTTTGTTTTTTTCACTCGCAGTTTAGAAGCATTTCAAGCCTCTCCCCTCCTGTCGTCACCTGAGTTAAACGTGGTGTAAAAGCAGCAGCTCCAGTCAGAAACCTCTTTAACGGGTTTTATTTGGAGGCAAACTGCTGTTTCATGTTGAAAAAGAAGCACTGAAAGGATGTCGAGCAGTTCTGTGTGAAGTTATTTATTGGACCAATCTCCTCAATAAACTCACAGCTGAAATCACAACGACTCTTTCTCCTGCTGGCGTTTTGTTCAGAGCGCGTACGGGTTCAGTTTTTGTTGCATGGAATGTTAAAACTCGAACAGAATTTAAAAAATAAAGTAAACAATGAGGCTTACTGAGTCAACGGTTTAATTATAAACAGTTTATTACAATAAAGAAAACCAGTTTGATTCATCAAAATGTGTTGATTTGATGTGACGGTTAAAAATATTTACTTCAGCTTATCATAGTTTAACATAACTAAAATTTCCCAAGATTTCCCTCATTTTTTGTACCAAACGATATAGTTTCCAGCAACAGTTCACTTTGACAGTCTTGGTACTGGTTTAAGGCTGACTTGATTCAGGTGTTCTAACTTCAGAGTGTTTAAGCTTATTTAATTCTGGAAGTCGGTTCAGTAAAGTTGCATCAAACATTATGATTTGTAGAAACTCCCTGTAAAGCTGCACTTATCAAGAACTGTAAAAGAAACTAATGGATCAGAATGAATAGTTTGTTTTACAGTAGCTACATGGAGCTTTAGCATCATTGTAGCTTTTATTTTGGTAAATTTTAGACTGATCCTTTCTATTGAGGCATAATCTAACAAGGCAACTTCTACTTAAAGTGTTTTGTGGGCTGGGGGGAGGTTTGTTTTTAATCGTCTCAGGCTTGTTTCCACACAAAAATCGATGGATTTGAAGCAAGTTTTCAGAGTTGAGCTGATAAAGAAATCATGTTAGAGTCCCAGTAAGGGTAAAACAGGGTTTTGTAAAAGATAATTTCAAGTTTTCAGAGGGGATCACGATTTCTAAACTCAAAATAGCTTGTAGTTTAACCTTTTCACCACTAGATGGAGCACTTCCACATTAAAGAACCAAAGCTTCAGTCCAAGTTTATATCAGGATTTAAATGAGGTATCAGTTATATGATGAGAATTTTAACGATGAGCCAGTCTTCAGGTAGCATACTTGATTTTTAGATAATACAGATATAAAAGTTTGAAATAATTAGGTTTTAAGGTGTCTATGCTAATCAGTGGAAGATATTCAATATGAAAACCCCACAACATCATGGATTGATTTCTCTGTAATTTTCCCTCATCGGATCAGTTCTAGTGAGTTTCAGATGGTCTTTAATTGGACAGGAAGTCTATGGAAGCCCGGACGGAGCGGTTGGACATGACGTCAACGGCCGTGACTTTGATCTCCGTGTCTCCGAACTGCATGGTGGCCCTGATCTCCCGTCTCTCTGCCCCGGCTCCGCCCACCGCTCCGAGTGGCGGCAAAGGCTCGGGCAAGTCCAGCGTTACGGTTCCGCACTTCCTGACGCCGGGGTCGGAGATGTACGTGACGTCGTCGGTGGCGCTGCAGTAGATGTTGACGATGATCTTGCGCTGGCCCGCCCGAGCGGGCGTGTAGCTCCGCCTCACGACCTCTCCCAGAGCCACCGACTGGTCGACGGAGATGAAGCGGTCGAAGATGTCCGTGCACCACTCGCGCCCGTCTTTGATGAGGAGTTTGTCCCGGGGGTGGCGTCCGTCCAGGAACCGGTTCAAGACGCCGACCCCGTAGGTCAGCGGGCATCGTCGCACCCTGACCTGTAAAGAGAGAAGCGGTCAGACCCAATCGCTCCTCTTAGACCAGCTGGTGTTCCTGATCCCGTACCACGGTGGGATCCAGCCCGAAGAGCACGGCCCCCTTCAGTATGGTCAGTCCAACGTCGTGAGGGATGATGATGCGACACGCCCGTCCCAGAGCCCTCTGGACTGATTTCTGCAGCATGGGCGACTCTGCAAACCCACCAACCAGGAAGAGGAAACGCACACCGTGCACCTCCGGCTTCAACATCAACTCCTCTGTTGAGAACAAAAAAAAAAGAAGATGGTATTTGCACATTTTCGAAGACTTTTGTTTTGTTTCAGCTGCATGTGCTTCATTCTTATTTACGGATTAGAAAAAGGCGTAAATATACGTCTGTATTTTGTTCTCTGCGGCTTGCCGTACAACAGCAGAGAGAAAGTCATACTTTAATGTTTTTTAGCAGTTCTGTTTACATTAAGTCAGTCGTACTTGTAGTACTTTATAGCGATTATTAGGCAATGTGTTTTAACGCTGTTTGTATGCTCAAAATACCACGTAGAGCTCTATCGCTGTTATTGTGGCATTATTCCATCAGAGCGACAAACAGAAAAACTTTTTTTCTGACAAGCTGAAATCTGGAACCGTTTCAACTCGGAACTGGCATCAGTCTGACTTGAAAAATTTCGAGTTCCGCTGCAATTGGATCGCTGCACCAGAAACGACTTCTCAAACCAGCAAACATTCTGGGAAAGCAGTCCCTTGACTTTAAGTGTACGTCTGGAATGTGGCTGATTCAAAACACATTTTTCTGCCTGACTTCCAAGCAGAGAAGGAAAAACCTCAGGATTACATCACCATCATCTAAAAGTCTATAGAAGTCTTCATGTTCGGGTGTTTTGCTCAGCTTGGCCCTCGTTCCTAATCGTATTTTACCAAACTTTCATGACGTCCAAAGGCAGACAGACTAAATGAATAAATGTTTCAGCAGATCATATTGTATCGTTGGATCCTGTTGTATTGTGTGATAAATCATTAGTTAATTGTGAGCCAGTAACGGGGGCAAAACTGCACTTCCTCTTTCTATTTCTTTTAACTTCTGTTAACTTAGGATTTTCCACAAGATGTGTTTAGTATCAACAGAAAAGTCCAAATTTTTGCTAAAAGCTCATAAAAACGTTTCTACGTCCATTAAACAGTTAAAATCACAGTCAAATCAAAAAGTGAACAACTTGTACAAAATGGCTTCAACAAAAATCTGTACATTTAACTTATTCCTTAATAGATATATTCTTTTTAGAAATATAAGTCAAAGCAAACACCAAAATATGTTTTAAAGTGTTTCGAAAGTTTTTTTTTAAACTTGATTTTCAGGAAATATTAAGCAGTACAGTTATACTATTATACTCATTTCTCTTTGTTCATATGAATAGGGTAAAAAATACATTTGTGGATATTTAAAAAAAGTATTTTATGTATTTAAGAAAAGAGAAATATTTTTTGCAATAAAAAAACATTTTTTATTGGTGTTACCAACATGGTTCATCCTGTGCAGAATGACAAAACACCAAATCATTTATTTCCTAAAACCTCTGTAACTTTGCTCTAGTTTACTTTAGCAGCATGACTCTTTACACAGGTAATATCCACATGTGGGTTTATGGTTTCCAAGACTTTTTAGCCTTATTTATGACATTTTTAAAGGGTTATATACTGTTTAATGCAAAAAATAATAATAATAAATTAAGGCGAGGGGGGAAATCAGCATGTTTTCTGTTCCATCGTCATTACCTCTGAACATCAGCTGCTGTGATATTTACACTTCTGATTAAATCTCTCAAGTGTTAGCTTTGTTATGAAACCAAGATCGTTATTTTTATCTTGGAAGCGGATAAAAGAGTAAAGTAGGTGGGGCTAATCTGTGTGTTTCTTACCTATGTGTTTAACTATATTGCTGATGGTGGGCTGGAAGAGTTCGTTCATAGCTTCCTGCGTCAGCCGCAGCATGCCCTGGGACGACCACTTCACTATCTTCATACTGACAGAGAGAGAAGGTTTGACAATCACAGAAGCAGAGAACAGAACCAGAGCCTCACATACGTCACCCCCCCACCCTCACTTGCTCCTCCTCAGGGCGGCCTCCACGCTGTGCCCCCTGTGTCTTTTGTAGTAGTCGATGAAAGAAAAGGGCAGGGAGATATTCAGGGCGTTGGCTCTCCCCGGCGACGCTGTCCGTTTCCTCGCTTCGAATGCGATCATGAGGTCCACCCAGGCCGCCGGCCGCTTGGCTTTAAAGCTCTGAATGAAGTCCTCTCCAAAGATCTGACACAGCATGGCTTCAAAAGCCAGGTCTACGCCGACAGCGCCGTAAGGACCGCCTGGGGGACAGGCAGACACCGGCTTAGGAAACTGTTGGAAAGGAGTATATTCCTGAATAGATTGTAAAAGATTGTACCTGAAGCTTTGTAGAGCTCTTTCAGTGTCCCCTGAGGCTGCTCAATCTGATGAACTGTCAAATCCACCGTTCCTCCTCCACAGTCTGCAACAACGTACCTGTCACCTACAAACAGAGCAGAAATACTCGTGTTTTTTTACAGCGTTTTGCAAAGTTACTAGAGTTTGATCGGCCTCAATCTTTGTTGCTTTTTCAACATCAAAATGGAAACACAGTAAGAAGAGTTTGAGTATCTGAAGCTCTGTTGTCTGTCAGGAGCTGTTCCTTCTCATCAAATAGAGTCAGCTGAGGAGGTTCAGGCTTCTGGTTAGGATGTCAACTGGAGGCGCCTCCTTCTGGAGTTTAACCAGCCAATGGAAGAAGACCCAAGAACATGGATGGATGGATGGATGGATGAATAGATAGATTTATGGATGATGGACGCATCGATGGATGCATGGATTGATGGATGATAGATGGATGACGGACGGATGATCGATGGATGGATGATGATGGATGGATGAGGGATTAATGGATGGATGATGGATGGATGGATGATGGATGGATTAATGGATGGATGATAGATGGATGATGGATGGATGATAGATGGATGATAGATGGATGATGGACGGATGGATGGATGAAGGATGGATGATGGATGGATGGATGAGGAATTAATGGATGGATGGATAATGGATGGATGATGGATTGATGGATGATAGATGGATGATGGATTGATGGATGATAGATGGATGGATGGATGGATGGATGATGGATAGATGGATGGATGGAGGTTGGATAATGGATGGATGGATGGATGATGGATTGATGGATGGATGGTTGGATGGATGGAGGTTGGATAATGGATGGATGGATGATAGATGGATGATGGATGGATGATGGATGGANATGGATGGATGATGGATGGACGGATGATGAACGGATAGATGGATAATGGATGGATGATGGATATCTCAGGTCTGCTGGGTTCAGCTGTTTCATGATCATTAAAATTGACCAAAAAGTGACTTTTAGAGTCAAACTCTAAAGAAATTTGAGTTGGATTAAAACTTCTTGACTGTGTCTTATTGTAAACTTTTTTAACTCGTGCTGCACTTTGTATTTTTTATTAATGGACTTGGAAATAAAATGACTTGATTTTATGTAATCTGAGACAGACTATTGTGCTTTTAAGTTTGTGGGATAAATATGGATGATTGTGCAAATAACTTTAAAGACTATGTGTCATAGTCTCCTCTTAAAATATCAAATTAGGAACTTTTCAAAAACAAACAACCTTTAGGTGTTCATAATGGCTGCTTGTGTTTTTATAATCCACCCGAAGATAAGGATCGGTTCCAGTGAAACACTTAGTTTCAGCTGGCTGCACCTAAAACACAACCTGAGGCGGACGTGGAGAAGTGAGAGATGTAAACAGATATTCACTAAAACGACACATTAAACACAAGAAAGGAAGAATAAAGAGTGTTTCTAATCCCTGGACAGATTTACAGCAGATAATCCCACGGGCTGAGTCTTTCCTGTGTGTGTGTGGACATGTTTTTGTTACCTGGTGGGGACGATTTTTGACCATTTTCCCGGTACACACAGCCTGGTGAGGACCCAGTGTGACTTATAGGGACAAATGCCCAATCCCCATTGGAGGATATACCGTTGATGGGTCAGGGGTTAGGATTAGGATTAGGGGTCAGGATGTAGAAATGACTGGTAAATGAATGGAAGTCAATTCAAAGTCCCCACGAGGAGATAAGAACAAATGTGTGTAGACAGGAAAGAGAGGAGGCCATCGTGGCCCCGCGGCTCCTCAGATTATTGTCATGGGTCCACAGGAAGCAGCAGCTGCATATGAAGCCAGCAAAGCTGGAAACTTTATGTCTTACTTGCAGGAATTTTATTTCCCCAGCAGAACTCTAGTATTTGAATCTTCTCGTGTTCGAACATTTATCCCATTTCAAACTGCGCAACAAACAGGACCAATAAGACCTGTCTGCACGACAAAGTCAGCAGGTCAAAGGTCAAAACCATCAATATCTTCAACACACACTTACCAGTCTGCAGCTCTGACCACAGCTCTCCGGTCCCACTTTCCACCAGAAAGGTCCTGCTGTGTCTGGATCGTCTCAGCTGCTCCCTCGCTGCACAACACAAACCAAAAATACCTTTTTTTAAAGCAACATCTGGACAGGATTTCTCATGCTCCTTTTTAAACCATGTTTTTATTGAAATTAATTAAATCTTGTTTCAGAAATGGGCTCATTCAGCCATGTCTTGATGAAACTGCATTTCTGTTATATCAGATGTTCAACTTGTTCTTTAGCCAGAAACTTCAAAAGGTCTATTTTCCACTGAGGGAAGGAATTGTTTCGATTTTTTTCAAGACTTTTCCGGTCTCATTGGAGGAGGTTAGCTGGACATTAAAAAGCTCTTTGGAAAGATAAATTAGCAGCTCTAAGTTTCTGAAGTAGTGTTAAAAATCATTTTGGGCAAATCACATCCAAAGTTCCTTTAAATATAGAAAACAAGGATTTGTGTGAAACAAAACCCAATCTGACCAAAGCCATTCTAACGTTTTATAAACGGGCCACACTGCAATTATAATCATTGAGGCTTGAATCAGTTTAATAAACCCATTCCACAGTTATTAGTTTGGACTCCATCCAGCTGCAAACACTCAGATATCACCACGTTTTCCTGCTTTCAGCTGCTTTGCTGCCTTTAAAACGTGTCTTTGCACGTCTGTGTAAACATAACGTACGGTCAGAGCTGAAGAATTAGCACTTTTTTTTCCCGCCCTTGGTCAAAAACATAATCATTGTTTAAAAATGTAAAGTTTATACAAGTTTCAAATCCAAAGAGCTCATTACGGGCAGGCTCGGCGCCATCAGAGATCCAAGTCAAACATGTCTCAAAACGACTTGCTGGAAATGAATGTGCTCGAGTTTCAGCGACGTGTTTTCTCTGGTGAGTGGCAGGTTAGGAGCGTGGACCGAAGGCCAAACAAAACAGATGGTGGTCACACACAGCTGGCAGAGGCAGGACGTACATGACAGAAATATACAGTTTTACTCACAAAATAACTTAAACTGGGTACAATCACATGATACAGCCTGGTACACACCTGCCAAGATAAATTAGGTATATACCTAATACTTACAGGGTACGTACCTACTATTTACTAGATACCTGCTTGGTACTGATTGGATACATAACAAATATGTACCTGGTGCAAGGCCATATAAGTACCAAGTGTATGCCAGGTACATATCCTGTAAATAAAGCAAAGTACGTACCAGGAACTTGAGTTACACACCTGGTACTTACAGGGTAGATACCTGGTAAATCACAGGTACAACTACGTGCATCTCTGATACATACTTGGTACAGTACCCTGCAAGAACCCAGTACATATTTTGACCAGGACTCTGTAAGTACCAGGTACATACTTTGAGTAGGACGCTGTAAGTACAGGGTAACTAGTTAGTTCATACTACAGTCCAGTTCCTGTACCTGTAATTACTTTTTATGTATGAGGTACTTTCAGGATAGGAATCTGATTTCTAATGGGTACATACTTGGTATCAACCATTACATATCTCTTTCTGGGTACATATCAGGTTTATACAAGGTACGTACACTGTACTTTCCTTGGGCAGGACCCTATATATATTTTGTGCAAAACAGGTACTTACAAGGTGTGTACCTTGTACATAATTGATACAGTACCCTGTAAGTACTTGGCATATACCCTGTATGTACCAGGTACATACTTAGTGCAGGAATCCCAGAAGTGTCTTGTATGTAAGTATACACCCCATATGTACAGGGTAACAAGTCACTTCATAATACAGTTCAGTTCTCATACATACTCTGTGAGTACCTGTTATGTACCAGGTACTTACAGGATGTTTACCTTGTACCTAATGGGTGCATACTTGGTATCAACCATACCATACTTGGTACTTTCTGGAGATATATAGAAGGTACAACCCTGGTGCAGGACCCTATAGGCATCTTGTTCAAAACAGGTACTCACAAAGTGGGTACCTTGTACATATTTGATACAGTACCAGGTAAGTACTTAGTGCATGACCTGGCAAGGCCCTGTATGTACCAGACATGTACCCTGTAAGTACAAGGTAACAAGTCACTTTAAAATACAGTCCAGCGCTTGTACGTATTCTAATGCCCCTTTTCCATGGTGTAGTGACGGAACAGTCGGTGTAGGTATGGTTCAGTATGGGTCGGACCAGTTGGTTTTCCACTGGTGTTCCAGTTCAGTTCCAATGGGTGTGTTTTGGGCGGTTGGTGGAGGTGGTTTTTAGGTTTTTTGAAAAAAAATTAATGAGCAAAATGAGAGATGGAAACACATTTGATGAATAACTTTTGAAATTTTAAAAATTTTCAAAGGTTTAGCCAATCAGTGACGAACAGTGTTCTGGCATCGCATTTTGGTGCCAGCTGGGGCCGGCTGGAACCACAATGAAGTATCGGTAGGTACTAAAAAAAGTGCCGGTTCCATGGATCTGGCCTAATGGAAATGGCTTGGAACTGTACCGAACCGTACCGACACTACACTAAGTGGCTCTAGTGGAAAAGGGGCATGAGAGTTATGTAGGTCCTTATAGGTACCTAAAGTGTACATACTTGGTAACAATCATCACGTACCTGGTAATTTCTGTATATAAACCAGGTATGTACAAGGTACATCCCTGGTGCTCCTATAAGTATCTGGTTCAAAACAGATACATGCCTGGTCCATCCTTGGTACAATACTCCGTAAATACAAAGTACGTACCCTGTAAGTGAAGGGTAACAAGTCCATTTATAATACAGTCCAGTTCTTGTACATACTCTGTAAGTACCGGGTGTGTGCCCTGTAAGTATTTGGTTGTTTTATGTACTGCTTTCAGATAATTTTTTTTTCCTTTTTGTGAGATGGTTAGAAAAATTAGTTTTCCGTGGAAACGTGTGTATAAATGTTGTTTGAAACATAGTACTGTGTTGGTAAAAGTGGTTTTTACTTGTTTACCTAAAACTGTACGAGTAATTAACAGAACAAAAATGTAAAAAGAGGAGTGGAAAAATGAGAACCAAGATATTTATGGTAAACACTGCAGCCTCGTTTACCAGCTCCGTCTTGGAGGAAATTTATTGTCGATTCCCGGACGATGAAGGACGTGTGTGTGTGTGTGTGTGTGTGTGTGTGTGTGTGTGTGTGTGTGTGTGTGTGTGTGTGTGTGTGTGTGTGTGTGTGTGTGTGTGTGTGTGATATAAATGAAGCTAAACAAAAGGCCTGCCACAGTCATGTAAGCCTCGACTCCATGTGTGTGTTTCTGTTCAGAGCGACTCGGAGAACGCCAATCTGGAAATCATTTACATGAAACAGCAGAAAAGCAAACGTACGTGTGCGTGTTTTAATGACTCCCCTGTTGCTATCTTTGGAGACGAAATGAGGTGGAAGAAAAGCTAAAGATAGTAAAGAAAAAAAAAAACAACGCTGGGATGCCAAAGTGTGAGTGTGTGTGTTTGTGTGGTTTGTGTTTGTCCACACAGACCTTGGAATGGGACCGAGCTCGCGAAAAGAACGAGAGACTGAAAGAAAATGCAAAGAAAGAAAAAGAAGAAAGCGAGAGGAGAGGGAGAGTGACAGGCCAGGAGGGGGTGAGATCATGGTCTCCCTGCACCTTGTTCCAATTACAATATCCTGTGTTTAGAGTGTGTGAACGCTCTTTGTGTGGCTGCATATGTACAAGTGGGCCTTTGCAGGGGGATTTTCGGCCTGAATTATGCATCGAGTTTCTTTTTCCCAGCTTGAAATTGCTCTTTTCTTTTCTGCACAGAATGCCAGGCATGTCGTTTGCATAAAGCTTTACTGCAGAACAGAAAGTTGCACTTTGGTAACTCTAAACTAACAACCCTGTTAATTTATGAATCTTAACTTAAAGCTACACTTGTTAATTGTGCCAAAAAAAGTTATATGATGTGAATTAAAGGCCCTGCCAAATGATGTTTTAAACAACTTATGCCAACTTATATAATTTATTTTATGTCTAAATTACTAATAAATTATATATTTGATATTTGATTTGTTAGCATTACAGTAAATACTTGCCTAAAAGAGGCTTCCCATGAATATTTAAATTCCATCTTCAACGTAGACGTCTTTAAAAAGTTGTTTGAACCGTTATAGTGACAGGGCCTGTAGGTAAATGTTTATCAGCCGTAAAGCTGTTTAGGCACAAAAACTGGCTCTAACTCAGTTAATCTTGTTGAATAAAATGTGAGCAACACATTTTTTTATTATTTAGCTCACCTTCTGAGTCTAAAATCCTAGTTAAAAATTTTCCACTAACATTTTATTGTTGTTTAGCTCACAGTTCTTTCTTTTTGCAAAGTTTTACTGGATGCTTAATGTTATGTCTGAATGTTAAATCCTAAATCCAAATGTAAAAAGTTAAATCCTAAACGTTGCAGCCAAATGTTGAAGTTTACATTTAAGTATTTTGGAATGGAACGCAAGCTTTTCCGTTGGTGTTCGGCAAAAGCAAACGCTAGCGTTGCTAACGTCGCTAACATTGCCACTGTCACTAACACTAAAGGTTAATAACGCTAACGCTTCCCAACAAGACATTAAACTTGCAGTTGCGCCCGGCGTCTGAGCTGCACAGATACCATATTCTTTTCAATGAACACATTTTGAATTTAAAATTTAATTATTCATCCGTGTTAGCAGTGCTAGCAGCATTAGCAGTGCTAGCAGTGTTAACATTTGCTTTTGTATCAGGGTTTTGACGTCATAACAAAAGCTGCACACCAAAGGCAAAGGCTGCGTTTAATTCTGAAATACGTTAACATTTGGTTGCAACATTTAAGATTTAACTTTTACATTTAGATTTAGGATTTACAATTTAGACATAGCATTAAACATTTAAATTGAAAACTGCACAAAATGCAAGAACAGTGAGCTAAATGACAATAAAACGTTGGTGGAATTTTTTTAACTAGAATTTTACGCTCAAAAAGTGAGCTAAATATCGAAAACGTGCTAGCGACATAATTTTTACATTTTATTTTACACTTTGCACCCCGTAATCTTACAGATATTGAACTAAAATTTGGTGCGACAGCTGAGAGTCATCCCAAACACAAACTCTTACATAAAACTTACATTAACTGTTGGCATCAACACTGTTTGTTAGCAAAATATATCATGAACCAGTGGACAGAAAGTAATAAATGGACCTTTAGAATCAACGTTGCCACAGCTAACAATCAACTCAAAAATGTCTATAATTTAGCCAGTTTGACAAATATTAAGCTAAATTTTGATTTGGTACTAATGAAAGTCATCCTCGATAAACACAAAGATCTCACAGTATCAGATGAAATATGAGAAAGATGTTTACGACTAAAATAATTACTAACTTAAGCAAACACTAGTATGTGTCGCAGGCACATTATGAAGTAAATCAAGGAGTTAAAAGGAGACTTCAAGTCTAGAATGTTTCTTCTTGGTGGGAATTCTGTGGTTTCTTCTCCTCTTTCAGCTTCTCTGCTTGCTCTGTATATACATAAATAAAACACATGACCTGCTCAAAGTCACGCCGCCGCAAAGAAATCTGAGGCAAACAGTATCTGAGGCCACATCTTTACCCCCTTCACTTTTTTGTTTTGCAAAAAACACACAAGTCGACAAAACCCCACAATCCTCAAGTGACTTCAGACAGCAGTGTTTCCAGGAAACACGGTGTGGTTTCACAACGATGCACACTCACTTTGACCTTTCCGTACCTTGCCTGAAGCTGGAGTCAAAGCCCCGGGACCCGTCCAGGTCCGGGCCGTTTGTGATTGGCTGCACGCTCAGGTCGAGCACCTGGTGGAGGCGGAGCTTGCGACAATAGATGGAGGCGGCCTCGGGCTCCAGAGCGATGAGGAGCTGTTCGGGACAGTCGGGAGACACCAGACCGGCCTGGACGGACACAGAAAGGGACAAAACAGAGAAAAAAACGGGGTGTGAGGAGACAAATAAATGCTTCCTGAAGTGGAGATTTTTTTAAAGTTTGTTTTTGTTCGACCCATACAGACAGATGATATAGAGCTTTTCAGAAATAATGACAAAGCTCACTTTGTTCCATTTTTTTTCATCATTATTCACCTCATCTGTCCCGCCTTACTCTGCTCCCATCGTCATTAAACTCTCATGAAATCATTGGTATTGTAGCAGAAAAACGGGTTGAGGCAGCCATCTTGGCTCCAAACAGTAATGGTCATTATTTTAAAGGGGCAATATTATGTGTTTCTCAGGCATACATTTAAATACTATACCATAATAAAGTGTCTATGTCACATTTAGCTGTTATTAAAATGCTGTTTTTAGGTTTAAATAGAAAATAAACTTATCTTCTCATCACTTCCTCTTCTAAACGCCTTGAAATTGGCCTCTGTCTCTTTAAGAACCACCTTCCGCATCCCTCCACACCTTCCCTGTGGCCCTGTCGGCTCCCGGCTTGGGGTTGGGGGGGGTGGCGCCCTGAGGGCCGGGCCCTCTGTGCCCATGCCCGTGCTTGCCCTAGCGCAGTGGGTGCCGGCGGGGGCCTGCGTGCTCGTCGCTGCGGGACATTGCATGGCTGCTGCGCGTGGTCGCTGGTGGGGTTCTCCCGGGTCTCCCCTCTGGTTTGACTTGGGGGTGGGTGTGCGGCTCTCCTCGCGTAGGTGTACCCGGGGACCCGGTGCTTGGGGTTCCTCCTGGGGTCTTTGGCTCTGGCCTCCCCTTTTGTCTGCCTCGTGCCTTGGGGGTCGGCTCTGGGACTCCCCCACAGTCACTATTATACATTCCGTTGGAGAAATCCTGTAAATTTATGCTTGATCACAACCACACGCAGACAGGTGTTCAGATCCGAGGGGTTCTGAATGATCACCAGGTATATATATAGGTGGGTGTTTGTTTATCTGTCTAAATGTATATACTGTATGTATGCTTTTGCTAGGTTTTATAACCTTAATTCTCTGCAGGTGTGCAGACAGATGTCTCGTATTGTTTTCTTGACGTATATCTCACATATCATCAATTCTTTCTTTCACTTTTTTCCATTACATTGTAACTTTTCTTTCCTTCTTTTTTACTTTCTTTCTTCTTTCTTGTCTATATAAAAAAATGCCACTGATGATGAAGAAGCTAAGATACTAATATTCAGATATTTAGTACTGCTTTCTACTGAAGTGGTAAAAAAAGAACCACCTTCCACTTCTGTCCTGCCCATTTCAGTACGGTGTGGGGTGTGTGTGTGTTGTGTGTGTGTGTGTGTGGGGGGGGGGGGGGGGCTGCTATGATGCAGTTTACTTGGCATCTGAAAACACATTTCCTCAAAGGTATTTTTAATCTGAAAAGAGCTTCACTGAGTGAGAAGTAATGTTGAGAGCTCAGCAGACAGTTAAATTTCACTTTCACTTTCACCCGAGAGCCTGCAGGAGTCATGGGCGGGGTGTGTGGGGAGAGGGTGCGCTCTGCCATGAGGAAAATTGGCTTAAAGACACGTCCCAGGAGCGTTTCTGGTACCAAAAGGCGTTTCTGGTCCCCACCTGTCGTTTTGCTCCTCAGCATGGCTTCAGGATTTCTCAAACATGCATGAATGGGTCAAAGCAAGGCTTTGGGCATGTTTTTTTTATGAGAGTATAACATTATAACATGATATAAAACTCAAAAAAGTTGATTTTACACGATATTGCCCCTTTAAATTCCAATAAATACTCTCCAGGGATTCATGAGATATTTTACTGACAGACAAGCACGCATGCTCACAAAACAGTACCTTCCAAATGTTGTTTTCACTTATGATGATCTGGAATCCCTGACTAAAATGAGACGATTCCTGACTGGATGCAGGTGAGGACATGTTCTGGAAGCTAAACTAAAGAACCAGCTGTGCAGCATGGACGTGTTAGAAAATAAAACACAGAGAAAAAAATGGAAATGAGACGTAAACTTGACAAAAAGTCGAGATGATGGCTTTGGAGAAGGAGGAAGCTTATATAAGGCTGATGTATTGGAAGTAAAGTTGAGTGTGTGTTACAGTGTGTGTGCGTGTGTTTTTGCAGGGCGGGGGTCTGCTCTCCACTTCCTGTGTTTGTCTGCCGGTCTCCCTTATTGTTCGCTCCTAATGACATCATCATCATCAGGAAGTGCACACGCCCTGACAACCTCAAGCCAGGGGCCAAGTGTGTGTGTGTGTTATCAGTGTGTGTAAAAGTGTGCATGCATTTGACTTTTTATGGATTAGTCCAGGTGAGTGAGGAGCAGATTGTGTTGCAGGAACTCCGACATGACTCAGTGAATCAAATTTTGTACATTTTCTCAATGATGCACTCAGCAAAGCAAGGTTTTATTTGTGCACAGAGCGTGAACGCTGAGTCAGCAATTAGTTCCTGGCATGCTGTGGAGGAAACCTTCCCACGCAGAAGCAATTATTTTCTTGTCATTTAGGAATCACCCAAGCCTGACCTGGAGGCGCAGGAGACGTGCTTGTGGATGTAAAGGTCCTACCATGTACGCAGCCTCCCTCATGAACTGCTTGGCAGGTTGTCTCCACACGGCGGGGACGGTGATCACCCATCTGATCTCCTCTCCTTCCAATACGGACGACGACTGGTCCTTCACCTCCTGCGGCGCAACTTTGAGTCATCACAGTGTCTCGGCTGGTGTCATCGCGCTGCACCGACGTCCTTACCTTCAGAGCGTGCTCTCTGAAGAAGCGCAGGGCGTGTGCGAACACCTCGATCGCCCTGACCTTCCGACCGTTAACCGCCTCCAGCTCCGTCTCCATCGTCAGGTCCTGAAACCAGAACAGTGACCTTCAGGTCATTCTTACCATAGTTTAAATCCCTACATTTATTGAGGAAAGAAGGGTGATTTAGAATTGTAAGTGCAACATTACTTTCAAGAATGAACCGAAATGGCTACAACTCTGTTGTTACTCAATATAATTGAAAACTTTGGCATTAAAGGCCAAACGTCTACGATAGTCTTTCCAGGGTCGGTCCTAGCCAATTTGGGGCCCTAGGCAAGATTTCAGGTGGTGCCCCTTGTGCAGTTTTCAAAACTCACTGCTAATTTACATACATTACACGATGTACTACACAATATATTTATATATTTTTTCTTTGATATTATTTTTTACATTTAATATTTTAACTTTAAAATAAAGACTGTAAAAATACTGTAGGCTTTTAGTTTTTATTACACGGATGGGGCCATTTTATTTACACGCAAAGCATTCTGGGTAAATGATGATGTGGAAAGGTCCTCGGTGTGAGGCTGCTAGCGAGCTATATCCACCCTGAAGGTTAATCTTGGACAATATCTGACGATCGACTCTTTTAAATGAAACCAGAGAGCGTTGACAGAGAGGAGAAGGTAGAAATGACTCAGCCTGGAACTGAAAATATGGATGGAGGACAACAGAGCTGCTTCATGGAAGAAGAACCTCAGCTTAGCCTGTTAGCTTTAGCGTTAGCCCCGACGCCATCACCAATGTTACGACTAATCGTGGATCCCTTTAAAAACCAGGTTGTCCAGTTAAAATAGTTAATAACAAATTTATTTGAAACATAAAACAAGAAGTCTACCTCATACCTGCCAACATTTGCTGACAGCAATGAGGAACACCTGTTCAAGTTAACAAGCAGCTGTGGAGTGAAGCAGTTCTAGGGGGGTTCAGGAACATACTCCCCTGGAAAATTTAGTAAAAGTTCTACTCAAAATGATGCATTTTTCAGCCATTTGAAGAGCATTTGACTAAATTCTCAGGATCAATAAAACATAAAATCATTATTTTCTGAAGGTATATCACTAAAAACCAAACTTAATCTTAGATCATAACTGAAACGTCCATTATCCTTATTGTGTTTTCTATTTGAGCACCAGTAGTTAGTCTTGACTGCATCATGTGATGCTTTTATCATGAAACATCCTCTGCACCATATACCAAATAACGTAGTAAAGCAGAACAAGTTACCCTCATAAACCTGAGTAAACAGTGATTATTCTACAGACTAAACCAACTATACTCTGATAAAAACATACAAAGATTTTTTTCATCCCCCTGAATGGACAGCGTCCTGTAGCATTTGCCCGTACTGCCTATGCCATGGGCCGGCCCTGAGTCCTTCTCCTCAAACATGTTTCTTACACTCGTGCTGTGGATCTTCATTTTAAATTTATCAAAGTAAAGCCAGTGCTGGGCCTCCTCTGGATCCAGGTCATGGTAGAAGTCTCGCGCCGCAAACCCGAAACTGTGGAACCTTAATTCGGGAGTCAGCAGCAGGCACGTTGGGCTCTTCTGGTTGGCCACGCCGGGGTCACCGCCCTCCCAGCGTCTGTGATGGAGTTTGGCAACGAAGACAGTCAGCTGTGGAAACTAATACAACTATTTATGATTTAAAAAAAAAAACCCATCAGAGCCTTACTTCATCATGTGTATGGCCTCTGAGTCCTCCGTGAAGCTGAAGGCGTAGCCGCTGGAGGTTGTCCCAAAGTCTATCGCCACAACAACAGAAAATGGACAAGCCATTCTGGGTCTGACCTCTACCCTCTATCAAAGAGAGAAAACACATTTCTGTGTTCAATCGCAAAACACTTTGGTTTAAGAGCAAATATCTTGAACGCACAGTGAATAGTCCCAATATGCTGTCATAGTATTTACTGTATTTCCGGTTTCTGCGGAATTACGGGGATTATCGGAAACTACTAGCAGTTTGTTTCCATGAAAAACTCTGAAACACAACTTTGTGGGGCTTTATTTCATTTAAAGTTTTGTGGGTGATAATGTCTGTATAAGAATTGAATATATTTGATGAATATTCAGCAAGGGGAATCTGCTTTCAGAAGAACTAGCACGTAAGCTAACTTATACTTAGCTTATGCTAACAACTTGTCCAGTCAGCTTTTCTGCTTCAGGCTCTTGTCTCGTTGCAGTTTTTCACTTTAGGTGCCCGCCACTGTAAGTTGTGTGTTTTAACTCTTTTTATAAAGCACTAATGGCAGCTGGGAGCTCTATATAAAGTTAAACAAGCAGAAAGCGGAAATGAGGGAGTGTCTGTGGTAAGTGGCTGCTTGTTACCGGTGAAGCCGAGGGTGTGAGCGGCGTGATACTGCAGTCGCTTCTGGCTGTGGCAGGAGAGGACGGCGTGGAGACATTTTCATCTGCAAAAACACAGAAATACCTAAATGTATGTCTGTTGAAAGTGATTTTTAATATATAATCTTGACAAAAAAAAAACAGTTTTGAACTCCTCTAGCTGTGATCAGGTCAAGATCAAAACACTTGACCTGGAGATCTCTGGATAACAAACTGGAATGACTGGAATGTTGCTGGAATCGAAAATAAGTGATGTTCCAGAGTGGGAGAGGAACACGAAGAGGTCAGCAACATGTTCTCACTCCAACAGATAGAAAAGTGAGATATTTGGACCAGGTTGTTTGTGTATTTACCTGGTATCTGCAGGTAGTTGGGATCTGGCTGCTCCTCGTCAGCCATTTCTACGGGAGCCAGGATCTGCAGAGAACCACACTCACATCAAATATCTGCAGAAAACAAAGCTCTGCCTCAAATCTGATTGAGGTTCAAATACAAGTGTGTATTCCCATTAAAAGATGTTAAACGTTGTGTGTAAATACTGGACATATGGATCCTGGTTTGGGGTCTTTCTAGGTGGTGTTTACATCTCTCTGTGCATATGTGAGTTTTCTCCAGGTACCCTGGTTTCCTCCCACAGACCACAAACATCCTTGTTACTGTAGATCAACTGGTTGTTGTGGGTTTTACACTTTGACGCTTGTGATCATTTGTGTGTTTTATTCAGTTTTAATTTATTTAAAAAAATAAACAGTTCTGGCATCAACAGGTGCAATAAAACAAATATTTCTCTTGCAGGACATAACTCAAACTGATGAACAAAAGAAGCTGAAGTCTACATGCATTTATTTAAAGCTTCGTAAATGTCTGCATGAAACAAGTATCAGCTTTCCTCCCCAGCTGTCGTCATCTGATGATAAAACCAGATAAATTGCTTACTTATCCCTCACCATCTTTTCAAACTCAATGAGCTGTGACTGATTTATACCTCTGAGCCTTTACGTCTGACATGAGCCACAGATCAGTAAATCTCTTTTTTCTGGTTTTCTTTTACTGAAAATGTAAGAAATCTTAAAAGTTTGTCTTAACAGAACAAAAATAACTTTCATAGAAGCTGCCTTTTGTTTTAACTCTAAAGTTAAGACAGTTTATTTCATCCCCCTGCTTCATGTAGTAAAACATTAAATTCAGCTGCACGACCCCGGCAAGCGCTCATTAATCCAGGTTTTATCCTGTAAAGTTTACTCACCGCTTTAAAAGCTTTACGAGCGACAGAAGAGGAGAAAACGTCTTCCAAGTCCAAATCAGCCTCCAGGGAGAGGAGAGGAGTGGGAAGCTGCTGCTGCTGCTGCTGGATAGAAGAGGATGCTTCTCCAAATAAAAACCCTTCGAAACGAGTGAAAGCTTCCAACGTTTTGCTGATTTGTGTGTTCCAGGTTCGAGTGGGGGGAACTTGCAGAGGACCCTGATGAGGGATAAATACAAACCGCACCTCCCTCGGTGCGGTTCTGCAGTCAGACGTTTCTGCTTTGTAAGAGGGGAAAGTGGTGACACACACACACTGAACCAGCTGCAGGAGTGGGAGGGCTGTGACAGTATGAGGAGGGGGTGTTGGTTGTGGGGGGGTTACCTCACTGGAGAAGCTGGAGGCTGAGGGTGGAGTAATTTTACTGTTTTATCCTGATTGAGTCACGCTGCCCTCCTAAACTCCTCCACATCCACCAGTTTAATCAGCTCTTCCTGATCTGTGAATCAATCTAAGATTCACTTTTCTCATTGCCTTTCCCACCTTTTTTATTTTAGTTTTCACATTCCTTTACGTTGCATTTCCTGCCTTTACTCGTCGCAGACCAAAGCAGGAAGAAGCCAGGTGTGCTGGGCCAAACCTAAACAAGCGATGACACCTTTTTTTAGTGTCTCCTCTGATAGTGGAGTATTTTCAGTCATTTGGGGAATGCTCCAGAAATGCTTAAATTTTTTTTCGTCGTTTCACGTACAAGCAGATCAATTTAAAATAAATAGTTCAATGCAGCAACATAAATTTAAATAGGTAAATTATGGTACTTGTTATTTTAAAGTATGCAGTGTTTTTCAACCATTATCAGGTGATTAGAAGCAGAAATCTGGTGCCAGAAAGTCACACAGTTTGTTCAGATAAAGAATTAAATATTATCAGGTTCAAACAGGATTTAAATTCGGGGGTGGGGGGGGGGGGGGG